GTGCGAACGGTTCAACCGAACCCTTCATAACCTCCTTCGCACTCTGCCAGCTTCTAGGAAAAGGGATTGGGCGTCTTGCCTTCCGCAGATCTTGTTCTGCTATAATACCACCCCCCATCAGTCCACCGGTGAGTCTCCGTATCTCCTGATGTTTGGCCAGGAACCTAGACTGCCTGTTGATTTTCTTTTGGGTAGGGTTCAGGAACCTGGGGAGGGCGGGGTCCATGAGTGGATCGTAGAGCATCGAGCAAGGATGCAAGTGGCATTTGAGGGTGCTAGGGAACGCTTAAAGGCGGCTGCTGAGTACCGTAAGAAACGGCACGATCAACATGTTCGTGATGCACCACTGAGGGAGGGTACACTGGTTTATCTCCGTGATCATAGCGTGAGAGGTCGTCATAAAATCCAGGACCTGTGGAGCTCGGTGTTGCATCAAGTATTGCGGGCACCAAAAGATGGAGGGTCTGTGTATACTGTTGCACCCGCTGGTGATTTGGGAAAAGTTAAGCGTGTTCATCGTTCCCTGATGAAGCCTCGAATACAGCAAGACCCCCCAATTGTTGAGTGCCCTGCTAGCCCCCCAGTTAGCCCGTCGTCCTCACTAGGGGACACCGACAGTTTAGATCTGTGGGTGGCTGCAGAAGAGGCTTTGCCGGCCGTGTCAGACCTGCCGGCACCTTGCATGATTTCAGTGGCACCAGTGCCACCTTCTGTGGAAGGCATGGGGCCCTTTGTAGAGTCCTTGCCTCCTGTAAACAATTTGGTGCATGATGTGGATTTGGGTCTTCCTGGCACATCCATCTTTCTTTCCTCAGACCAGTCTAGGGATAGTGCTGAGGCTGTGCGACGAACGAGACGTGCCACAGCGGGGCAACATTCTAACATCCATCATCTTCCGCGAGCAGTGGAAAATGTAAGGGATGAGGTATCTGTTTCAGGGACGGTGTCTAGTATTAGTTCTGGGTTGTTTAGGCCCTGGTACTGATGTTCTCTTTGTATCTATCGTCGGGGCGACGACACAAAAGTAGGGGGTAGAATGTAGTGAAGTCGTGTGACGTCAGTACAATTTGGTAGGTGGCCAATTAGTAATTGCCCATTTGGGGTATATAAACCTTTCATTCAGGCATCTTGGGGTGCGTCATGGTTGAAAGCCCGCCTCTTCCGTTGTAAACACCGACTGAGTGTCCTGCTGCGTTGCTGAGGGTTTGTGCGTGTGGGTTGCTGCTTACTCCCAGGTAGGCTTGGTACCATCCCGGGGCGTAGGGGGAAGTTTTTTTTTGTTTCTCTCCCTGATTTGGATTGTGGCAATCTGTTCCAGTATGATGTGCCTTCGGCGCTTCCATCGTTGTGGCATCGCAATTTAATTGATCGGAGCACCAGCTGTTTCAGTCAACGAGCCTGTTAAATGATTCTCTGGTATATGCTGACGTGTAACTGGATCGTACTCTCTGGTAGGTAAACTGGGTTAGTATTTTGTGGCATTATCGGGTGGGTAACTGGTCAATCACTTCATTAGTTATAATCCTCCTTGTTTACTGTTTTGAAGGTTTTCGTGGACTCTAATGTGGGCTAATTAAGTGAGCAGTCGCATTAAACGGTGCGCTCTCCCTCTCCGTCACGCTCTCTCTCTCTTTGAAGCCACGCTGCTGCTTTCTCCACATCGATACGTTTAAGTCAGGCGTGTATGCGGGCCTGAGGATTATTTGCTTTTTTTTTGTTATTAGTTGGCATTTCTTTACTATTGTTTTCTATTTTGATCAGTTTTCAAGTTATGTAAGTTTGAGTGACTGTCTGTCTGGAATAACTGCTGGGTGTGTTCCTGCAGCGGTCATTTGAAATTGTTTCAATTGTTTTTTTATTTTATTTGAATTGTCTGTCTTTAATTCGTTAATCGTATCCATATATTGTTTGTCTTTTTGGGGTGTGTGTAAGTGTTTTTTTTTCTTTTTTTTGTTCTTGCTACGTTAAAGTCAATAAATTGACTTTGAATATTGTTTTTTTTTGTTTATTATTTTCAGTTTCTTATGTATTTTCTTTTTCTCTTTTCCTTTAGGAGCTGAGGCCCTCCTGGAGCGGGCTGGTTGTCTGTTTTACAGCAGGTTCTGTTCACTGGGAATGTTATTGCAGTTTCATTATTGCCGTGTCACTATCGTTGGCTATTTGCAGTGAATTGGGTGGGTGTAAGAGTGGTTGCTGTGTTTCTTATGGTGGACCTGCTGTTGGCACACTAGCCTGCTCCTGTGCTGAAGCCTCAGTCTCCGACGTTAAGTCAAGTGTGTTATTAATTTTGTAAAAGTGTATTGAGAATCTGGTGAGCTTATTATAAGCCTTGTGAGGTTTATTGTGAATTTTGTTTTTTTGCTTATTTTCTTGACCGTATTTAAGCCAATCATGACCTTTGAACTACTGTTTTTAAAGCACTGTTGATCAACTTTTAACGTCAATAAAACAAGTTTTGTACGGAAGCCCATGCCTCTTGCCTTTTCTAGGTGGAACGTATTTGTGTGCTATATTTGTGCTTATTTGCTTATTTTCCCCGTTAACCTGGGGTGGCGTAGTCACTAAAATTGAGCCACTTGCTACATGTGGCGTAGTCGGCAGGATTGAGCCACTTGCTACATTAGTTAAGGGAATAACAGTTTAATATGAAAAACGGTGGAGTATCCCTTTAGGCGCTCGTGTCTACAGTGCCAACAAGGGCTCTCCTCTTTTTCTACGCCACCCGAGAACAATGTTTTGCTGACTTTTTTGATGACTTGTGGAAAGAAAAAGTCTGCATAATTTAATTTGCACCTGCATCCATTGCATTTCGTGCTGTTTTACTTCCTTTTCCAGGTCAGAACGTCTACATTTGGTAGTTTCCATAAGTAGTTTCAGCAGTGTGTAGTGTAGATGCAAAAATCGGGTACGGGTCACTTTTAAAAGATGATGTAAACGGGTCGTCAAAAAAAAAAATCGGATTTGGGCATCAAGACCTGCAGTGTAAATGCAGCCATAATGTCACAATGAGGAACAATGTTATTGAGAACCATAAGAAATCCATCATGTTTAGGGAAGACATTTCATGGACTATCAGTATTTCGTATGAAATATGTTCATTATAAACAACATCCATTCGGATGATTTTTTTCCTTTTTCTTTTTACAGTCACCAGAGAACAGGCATTAGTGCAAAAATGGTATAACAAGGTAGTCCTGGCTGCAGTATATCCATTTATTCGAGAGCGTGACATTTTACAGTCCTCTAGAACTCATGAGGGGACTCGTACTCCGCGGAAATATGACAGATCTTCACTAAATGGAGCAGTGAACATCATTTCACAAAAGAAAAAAAATATATATTCTTTCAGACTTAACTTATTTAAAAACTTAGAGATCACTGATTCTTGAATACTGGGACAAAACAGGGCACAGAACATTAAAGTTTATGCATTAAATCATTATTTTGTATTAACTTAACTTTGGCTCGGTTGCTATTTTATAAATCATTTATATATAACTCATTCACAGGTCAATTTGCTAGATTTGTCCATATTTTGGTACATAACTGAAATTAATATTTATAAATATTCACAAATAGTTCTGTCGTTAATTACACAAATTCTGTCGTTAATTACTCACCATCATGTCGTTTCAAACCCCTTAAGACTTTCATTCCTCAACACAAGTGAGGATATTTTTTTATGAAATCTGAATTTGATTCATTGACAGCTACGCAACTACCACTTTGACGCTTCAAAAAGTTTATAAAGAGATTGTAAAACGAATCCATATAAATTGAGCGGTTTAGTAAATCTTGATCGCTTTATGTGATGAACAGATTCAATTTAGCCTTTAATACACATTTAAACACTGATCAGCGAACATAAACGCAAGCTCAAACGTGCTTGGTATCCCATACAATTTTATTACAATCTGTAAATATTAGAATAATTAATTACCTACATTAATTTTCAATAAATAATAAAAATTACCGATGTTCATTTTTAATGTTATTGTTTTCGGTCCAATAAGAAAATTTGGATCTAGATTTAACGACAACTAATTTGTCTACCAGCTTTCAAACAAATAATTATCGTATCGGCCAACATTTTCATATCGGTGCATCCCTAATTGACTCGTTTAAATTGAATTAATTTCGAACAAAAAAAAAAGTTACATAGTGCATCTTTAATCTCATTATTGAAGAAGTTGTGCAGCTTATTTGAAATAGCAATGTTTTGTAATATTATAAATGTCTCAATGAACAATCTTTTTTACATTAGTGGTTGTACATTTTTATATTCTATACACTTTTTTTTTTTGAACTATTCGCCAGATAAAATTGACATGTTTGGCCCCGCATCTCAAGAATCAGTGAAATATTGTTCTAATGCTTACCATGAATTTGTGAAAAGAACTGAACACAGTAATAATAAATACATAGCCTATATAAATAACAAATAATTGAACATGGCTGGACATATCAGAGATATGAAGTTCTAAATGATCCACTCTATATGGGTCCTATATGATTCCAAACTCTACACAAGTCTCCTCTCTGTTACAATGAGATTCGGCTCTATTAGTATGGGAACAGTAGGTTACCAACGCTTTATGATCGAGATGTGATTGAAAAGCACTAGCAGTACATTCACGGTTTGCAAGCTGATAGTGGTTTGTCTAATACGGCGGACCTAAGGTGGGGGGGGTCACTCTCGTCTCCCTCTACGACTGTACAAATAGTGGAGGTAGCAATGTGTGTATTCTGTGTCGTCTAGTATTAGTTAAGCACCTGGTTAAAAAGAAAATGGATTCCAACTTTTTTTTTTCTTTTTAAAGAATAACGGTCCATTCGTTGAGAAAGCACCAGTAATATTTAAATTGGTATTTTTTTTATATATAAACAAATAATGCCTTGGTGGTGGTATGTTTTGTTAAGTTTTCAATAAACTAAAAACATCCCAGAAGGAAAAAAAAAAAAAATAAAAAAAAAAAAAATAAAAAATAAAAAATAAAAAAAAAATCGCAGGACAGTGGACGATACACAAGGAGATGAACTTGTTCAGATTATCGTGGCCTAGAAGTTATGAGCCAGTAAGTCAGTAGAGTTCAGAGGGACCTGAGCGTACAGAATGAGCACTAGACACAGCGATGAACAAATAGGCAGAGGCAACGCAGCCAAGTTTGGATCAGAAGACAGTTAAGACCCGTAGTGGATACATTAAGCTATTAAGGACACCTACAAATGAGTTTGATCAAGGATTTCATCCCAAACATGATCGCAGATCCGCGTAAATTGAGTCCTAATGAACTGACGTGTTTGTCTGCAGCAGTATTTGTTACAAATATAAAAAAAGTGGATACCTCCAGTGAATCATGATGACCTGCGTTTTCTGAAACGCGTCTCAATTTGAAATGTCAGCTGGAACAGGCGTCACACGAGCTCAGAAGGTCCTGCCTGTCAGATTGTAACAGTCCTGGTGAAGTTCAGTTTAGCGGTCCCCATCACTACACGCTGGTGATGGAGGCCTGTTTCTCCGTGCGGTTGGCGGGCGGCTCACGGATGGTACGGAAGCTGGGGGGCTGGTAGGGCGGCGGGGGTCTTTTGGTGACGATGTGTCCTGGACTCAAAGCCATGTTCTGACGCCTGCTATTTTCCACATTACTCGAGGTGTTCGAAGCAAGGCTTTCCCGCGTGCTGAAGCAAGTACAGAAGGACAGAAAGGGAAAGAGAATGCAAGTGTTATGAAGAAAGCAGAAATTTGAAACTGATTAGTAACATGCTGAAAAAAGGTTGGATGGGGGTTATTCTAAATTTAAAGGAGTAGTTCACTTTTGAAAAAACTTTTGCTGATAATTTACTCACCCCCATGTCATCCAAGATGTCCATGTCTTTCTTTCTTCAGTCGAAAAGAAATTAAGGTTTTGGATGAAAACATTCCAGCATTTTTCTCCATATAATGGACTTCAATGGGAACCAAACGGTTCAAGGTCCAAAAGACACTTTCAGTACAAACTGCAAACTGTTGAAAGGGCTTTTTAACGATTCCAGACGATGAATAAGGGTCTTATAAAGTGAAACGATCGCTCGAGGGTTTAAAGTTTAAGTTTTATAAGCTCAAATGGTCGCCTTGCTCTGTTCTGTGATGTGCGTTCATGACTCTACTGTTCGAACTTGTTTATCAAAATGAACAAATCTTTTTCCGAGTCAATTCGTTCGTTTCGTTCATTGAATGAACCGAATGACTCAGAATAAGATTCGTTCATTTTGATGAACAAGTTCGAACAGGAGAGTCACAAACGTGCGTCACAGAAAGAGCAAGGCGACCATTTGAGCTTATAAAACTTATAAAACTTTTTTATTTATTTATTAAATGACCCTTATTCATCGTCTAGAATCGTTTAAAGCCCTTTGAACAGTTTGCAGTTTGTACTGAAAGTGTCTTCAGGACATTAAACTGTTTGGTTCCCACTGAGAAGTGCATTATATGGAGAAAAATGCTGGGATGTTTTATTAAAAACCTTAATTTCTTTTCGACTGAAGAAAGAATGACATGGACATCTTGGATGACATGAGGGTGAGTAAATTATTAGCAAAAGTTTTTTTTAAAGGTGAACTACTCCTTAATCACAATCTCTTGTTAGTGCCGATCAGGGTTGTGCACCATTCAGAACTGAACTGAGAATGCCTTTTAATTTCCAAATAAACTCCAGAATTTGAAGTTGAAGCGAAGGAGATGTATAATTCAAATATTCAAAATTATAAGAAGCAGAATTAAAATGGAATTAAATTGTATAATTAAATAAATGTTAGCATCAATATCTTGCGGTGGACATTGCTTATGGTACTGTAGACTAAAATTAAAATATTTCAGAGAATTTGATTATTATTTTTATTTTATTTTAGAGTCCAGTAATAGGCAGTACACTTTTTAAAATTCCTAAAATGGAATAGATTTGTCAAAAGGAATCATTTCTGTTTTGTAATAATTAAATTCATGCTCAGTGACTGTTAAATTTCTTACAATTAATTTCTTAAATGTATTTAGAAATGTAAAGAACATTTATGTATAATAAAAATATTTTGTAATATTATACATGTCTTTTACTGTCAATTTTGACCAATTTCATTCATCCTTGCTGAATAAAAATATATTTTAAACTTACACATTTATTTATTATAGCACTACTGTTAAACTTTTTGGGTATGTTTGCAACAAATATTATTTTACAAACAATCTATTGAGTGATCATGTTGTATTTTTGTGAATACCTTCACTTTAAATTCAAACTTCATTCAGAATTGTGCCCAACTCTGACACTAAATGATAATAAAAGGACAACAGAAAAGAGAAAGGACAGTACAGAAGCAAGAAAAAAAAGTAAGACTATGATAAAATGAGGAATACAAACCTGAAAGAACAGAATATTTATAAATGTTGACTAAAAGCCCAAACATGCCCAATGTAATATGCAGGACTATATGAGAGAGGTTGCATAAATAAAATAATCTTAACATGTCACATTACTTGCTCCATTTTAAGTGTTCCTGCTCAAATTTAAAACGGGGAATCTAAATTTAAATCAATCCAATGCAAGCAGAACCCATTCAGGTGACATACAGCTCAGCTACAACTCTAACTAGTTCATTCAGCTTTAAATAACCAGCACATAAATTAGACATCATCGTCAAATTTCAACCCATTTAAATACATCACTCATATATAGTTCCTCAGTCAGATTTGGACGTTAGCAAATCTATATATTTTTTGTTGGTTTCAAAAAGCAGTATATTTTGTTTTTAGTAGCATATTAAACTTTTCAAATTGATAAATAAAAAAAAAAAATACATTTGATAGAGGCTAACAAAATACTGTTGGATGTGTTAAATAATAATTTATCGGCCCAATAGACTACAAAATGCAAAACAAAAACAACAGGAATTTAGTTGTTTTTGACATACCGCTGTTTTCCTTTTCTATGATGTTTTGAACATGGTTTGCCACCAAAATGGAAGAGGGGAGGATAAAAAACACAGGAAGGAACTGGACAAAACAAATATATACACACAAACACAAGGTAAAAAATTACAACTGAACCACTGTATGAAAAACAACATACTTTAATTTGGGGAAAAACACAACAACAAAAAAATATCACAACTAAAAAAAAACTAAACAAAACATGGGGGCACATTTTGTTCCTCAAATGTTTGAAATGTCTCATCAGGCTTTTGGCACTGAGCGGGCTTCGCCGTCACTACAGTGAAGTGAACTCAACCCGCTCTGCCTCACAGGGTGACCTGAGTAACAGTTCAGTGCTTGTTTTTCTTCATCCAATCACATTTTTTCTAAACGCAGACAGAAAATTTCAGCAGTTCAAGAAGTCTGATTTTTAAAATGCATGGTATATTTCCTCAAGTGGACGCCACAAACTTCTTTATATCAGTCTGGATGACAATAGTCTTTTTGATTGAAAGTCAATATTATTGCACTGCAATATCTGAGCATGAAAATGTCTAATGGAAGTTTGCAGTATGAGAGGTTTCAGACATTTGGAAGACGAGATCAAAGGGTTTGGGTGCGGGTTGAAAGGGAGGACAAGGACAACGTCAAGACGTAAAGTTGCACAAGTTGCATCATGTGCTCAAGGCAATTTATTATTTAAGAAAGGCCTCAAACATATCAATAGATCAAGTGACAGACGTGTGTATCCATTATATCATGATCATTTTTAGAACAATGTCAATTAACCCAATGGATTTTGGTTGAGAACACACAATGCAACACTTACAATACAAACATGATGATCATTTAGACAAAAATGATAAAAGGAGCACCTTAAAACAACATTCAATTCAGTTTAAAACAAAAGCAAACAAAAACGAATGGTGTAAACCCTTTCAAAGATTGCAGTTATAAAACTGGTAGTGGTTGACCTACATTAAGGTGTATTCGGTACCTCTCATATGTTAGGGCCTCCCCCATTTTAGTGAAAACCTGATCCATAGAGTAGCATTAAGCCCAAAAATACTCTACGCAAGCATTGCAAAATGTGTAATGTAATGTTGCAATTTGTAGTGTAAAATTCGGTCTCCTCACTTCTGCAAGGTCCACTATAGTGGGAAGTTATATTTCAGGTCAACTACTGTCATGGAAGAACAAGTTGTCAACAGTTTAACTAACATTAACTGAGATATGACCCACTGGTTGAATGGCACAGACATTTTAACTGAACTCTATCAGACTACTGAGGTTTGTTACTGCCACAGAAATGTAAGAATGCAAGTTAAGTGTATAATAGGACAGCATGCTTACAATGCATTGGCCAAGCACTGGTGTTTTTGTACTTGCATAGAGTATGTTTCTGGTCTTAATGTCATTCACAGAGGTGGCTATTGCTGCTCAAAATACGAAAATGTAAGGTAAGGATTAAACTAAGGCTCTACGGAATTTTGTCATAAAACCAAAGAACCCTTAATGTTTTGCGAGTTAACACAGAGTTAAAAAAAAGGATATGTCTATTCATAGAATAGCATAACCCTCATTTAAGACACACCCTATTGCTTAACACAACAAACGAAACAAACCCTTAAAGTGGCCCTGAGTGCCTTACCGTGGGGAATTAAATCCACTGTCCACAGTCACACTGCTGGAGTCCATACTGTCCAATCGGGTAGAATGGACCGATTTTTGGCTGTTATTCCCCTCACCTTCCTTGGGACTTAGAAATGTAAGGTTCTTCTCAAACTTCCGTTGCAAATCCCGCTCCTTTTCCCGTTCCAGCAGCCATTGCATTGTCCCTCCCTCTTCTAGAACTTTCTGCTCCACCCGGTTCTTATGACTAGTCTCCTCCGAGTCATCATCCGACACATTGTAATAGTCAAAGGTGGTTTCTGCGCATGAAGCCTGCTCCTGAGCCGAGGATGGCGGCACGGTCAGTGGTAGAGGTTTATCGAAATGCTCCTGAGTCCCAAGGACTTCCGCTGACTTGGTGTGAGGGGACCTACCTATCGTACCTGGCCTTGAGAAGCTACTCTCCACGTAGTCTGGAGATTTAAACAAAGTCTCTTGACTGTAAACCTCTGGCATTTTGTCCAAGTCACCTGAGTCAGGATTGTGTTGGTGCAACAATCGTTCATTGGGGAGATGCTCGGGAGTTTGGCTGGTTGTCACTATAGGAGTAGTGTTTTGTCCCTTGGCTGTCTCTTCTTTATATTCTATAGGGTGAGGTGGTGTTAGATGAGGTGTCAATCGGTCAGAGGAGATCCCCTTCCAGACACTATCCGTAAAGTCATGGCTGGGTTTTACAAGAGATGATGGGGCAGAGAGAGAGACTTCATTTGCCGCAGTGCACTGGAAATAGTCATCCACAGGTGTTTTGGGAGAGCAAGACTTCAGGTCATTGTAAGCAGGAAGACTATCCCTGCTTTTACTCTTCTCCAGAGTCCGGTAAAGCACAGCATCCTCCGAGGATCCTCTTCCAACATCAGGCACACAAACGTCAGAGTGTAATCTAGCAGCAGAGAGCAAGATGCGGGAATAGTGGGTCGCCTGCGCAGATGCCCTCAAAGTACCGTCGTCAGTGTAGTACCGACTCCTGTCATCGGGACTGCACTCAAAGTCCTCCGGGCCACCTAAATATGGACCACCAAGTGGTCCCTTGGAGTTGTCCATGGAGCGTGACCTTTCTTTGGCCTTGTCCGACCTCTCGTTTCGTGACTTTCTCTCTTGTGTATGACTATGACTTCGGTGGACTTTGGAATGTGACTGCGCCCTCGAGGGTTCTGGGAATGGCATTTCTGTCCGCCGCTTTGCCAGTTCCCCCGAAACATCCCACTCTGGAGCGGTAGTAAAGTGAGACTCCACAATATTGGGGTTGCTGTGGACCATATACTTCCCCCTGTTCCGCTCCATGGACATCATGGTTTCGCGTGGAGAACGTACCAACGAGGAGCTGTAGAATCTGTAATCCCGGTCATAGGATATTTCCAGGTTGGATCCTTCAGACGGATCCCCCCTGGACACTCGTGTTTTGCTATGGGAACGTGAGGCCTTGCCCTGCTGGGTCTTTCGATGGCTGCGGCTCCTCTTGCTGCGTGCACTCTGCTGAGCCGAGGAGTTCGCTTTGTTCCTCTGTGCCTTCTCCTCCTCCAATCGCTTCATTACGGCTGTGTGGCGAGCAAGGTTCTCCACCGTAAGATCCGGGTTGATCCGACGGATGATCTCCATCTCCACCTCTCTGGGAACGGTGGTGGGTGTCTCCTCATCCCGCAGTGGCCACTCCTCAGGTGGGAACTGGGCGGAAAACGTGGCTAGATGTTTCGTCTTGTCCTTCTTGAAGCTCAACCTGAAGAGCTTTAGTCCAAACTTCTTAGACTGCTTCTCCCCACTGCTGCTGCTTCCATCTTTGTGTTTACTGTTTGTCTCGGTTTTAAATGGAAAACTAAGCGAACTCTTACTCTTCTCTGATGGCTGCTGAGGGGGCGGAGACACAGGAGAAACCTCTTTATGCTCTTTAGACCTTCTCTGTAAAGTTGAGGTATGTGTGCTAGGTATGTGTGCTAGGTCCTCCCGGTAGCTGTTGTTGTAGGAATCACTATGGTTCTTGTGGTGAGGTCTTTCCCGGACGCATCCGGACGTGGAGGGTGTCATGGTACCCGAGTGAGGTGAGGTACATGGCTGCTGCTGCTGCATGCGATCTGGTATCCTCTCATCTAAGTGGTACCACTTGCTGTTAGTTCTAATGAGGGAAGGCGTGATGAAGTATGTCTGCTGGGTGACGATGAAGTAACCCTCCGGGGTGGGATAGATCTTCCGCTCTCGGACCAGCATGTTGAGCGTGTGCCGCAGAATCTCCATACTTGGAGTGGGGACGCCTACCGGACAGGAATAGAGACAGAAGATGATCAGTCCAATACGGCAAAACAAATACCTTGACACCAACAATATTCATTTGACACTGTTACAATCAGATTAAGATTATAGCATCAAAGAATCACAAGGTGCGATTCCACATAATGACAGTATGTATTAAGGGATTTATATTGGGACAAGCACAATTCTTATTTCATTAATAATAATGTTTTCTATACTTTATTCAAAGGTTGCCCCTCATTTTATCCCCTCAACATTGTCTAATATAACGGATCACAATGGATCATTCATTCAGTCCTGTTTGATACTGTATGGCTGTGTTCAATGCAGCATATAGACATGGTGCAGTGGTGGCTGTCTTCTGTGCTTGGTTGACTGGTTTCAGAGCTTTGCTCCTCTGCTGACATTACTCCCCATTACATCATGGAGTCCTTAAAACCAGCCTAGTGTGACGCAATTGCATCCGACCCCCACTGCCGCTAAAACACAGTAGGCAACGCCCCATTCAAATATTCATGCTTCAGGTGGCGAGTATACAGTATATGTCTCTATTTGGACCACAGAAATGTATTTAACTATGGCACATTTTATAAGGGAAACATTCCATGAGCATTTCTTCCACTCCTGAACTCTTTCAAACGGTAAAGAAGCCCCCAAATGTGACAATATATGGAGTTAAAGATTTGAGCGCCGTATCAGTTCTGCGTTGTCATTTCCAGTACATTGGTCGTCCAGCACACTTCTATGTGTAAACGCTGAGGCGGAGTAGGGTTGCCTGTACTTACATCATAGCTGCTGCTTAGTTTCCCTATCAACGAGGTGCAATCCTAATTCAACCTTACACACGACACACACACGTCCAATCCAATCGAGAACAACAGCCTATCACTTATTGCAGTAATCCACTTTGATTCTAAAGACCTAGAGCTGTTGAGTTGAGAAGTTCTTCTCAAGATTTTGATGGATGCATTACATTCAAGTGACTGTAGACATTTTAATGCATTAAAACTCTACAAAAAGAAAAGGGCATCTCAAGATGCAACAACCCAGACAAATGTCCATTCTTCCTAACCAAGTTCTGGGAATAAATTCAGAGAGTTTTATAAAAAAAAAAAGAATCAATCAAATAACAACTAGGATTCAGTCGTCGCATGGCCGCTGCTTTCTCTTGTAGTGTAACCCTTTTGTGCAATCAAGGTGGTGCTCGGATTGCCATCACTGTTGGTTAAGTTACTCTAAAAAAGTAATTAATTACTAGTTACTAATTACCTCTTCAACAGTGTAATTAGATTACTGTACTAATTACTCTCTCTAAAAAGCATTTAATTACTTTTAATTACTAATTACTTTCAAAATCCCATATCAATCTCAACCAGCTGAATAATACAAGGATAGACATGAATCTGTTTTAAATTTTTTCAAATAAATACTATAAAATTGCATGAATTATCCTTAAACTGACCAAGGTGGAGAAGGTTACATTATAAAAACATACTTTTTAGCATCAGACAATACATTTTGATGTTAAACCCACTATTGTTTTATGTCTGATCTCATGACATTTCACACTTTTTTCATACATATTTTACAATAATTCATACGAATTTGTACGAGTGCGGTCGTAATATTTAGACACCTCATCAAATGCATACGAATCGCTGTGAGATCGGATTGATCTATACACAGTATTTACCTCAATTACATCAGAAGTAACTGTAATTAAATTACAGATAAATTAAGAGTAATCCCTTACTTTACATTTTCAAGGGAAAAGTAATTAAATTACAGTAACTAATTGCTTAGTAATTAGTTACACCCAACACTGATTGCCATAGATAGTTACAATTAACAATGTCACATTTGTATTAACTAAAACCATAACAGAAATTTTGTGTTATTTGTTATTTTTGGGTGAAATAACACTTTAAGACATTAGTCTAGTCCTAGAATTTTCTTTAGCTAACCAGTAACCACAGATAATTTTCCTTTCATTAAGAACAATGAAGCACTGCTACAAAAAGGATACATTTTTTACAACTCAACTAAACCTCAACCCTCTAGTTTTATCCCTCTTTAGAATACACACAAAAAACAGTCAAAAGAATCTGTATTGCAGACGTTTCCATCTCAATGTATTACTTTTATGTCAAAGAAGTGTTTTTTCTCCAAACAAACAGACTTTTGACCCCTGAAAAATGAAAAACCAAGCAGTAATAATACGATTCTTTGTGCCCCACAAAAATATACTTTTTTTTTTACAACAGGATCCATGCAACATCCTCCTAATAGCAGCTTTCTCCAAAACAAACACATCAGTGGATTTGCACCTGAGCCAAAACAGAAACTTCATATGGGATTTTTTTTATTCTGCAACACATGCATTGAGATGAACAGACTGCTACATGAGTCATATGAAAATATGCTCTGTGGAATAACATATTACTTTTCAATGATGCCTGTATGCTTTATTTTTACATTCAATGTGCCTCTCCAACACACTTTTCTCTTTCTATTCTAACAGAACAAAACTATTCCCATAAGACTTTTATACACACTCAGATGCATACCTACATTTATATGCATTTAGATGCTTTTATCTAAAGTGACTTAAGGCAGTTCAAAATAACCTTACAAGCTGAATCAAACCAAACCTACTCAGTGCCCTATTCTCCCACACACACACACCACAGACTCTGACTTGTCTTCTTGATACTGGTATTATGGTCTAGAGGAGAGGTTCAGGTGTGCAAAAAGTATAGAGGGAATGCGCGTGACGTCACCGTCGGCCGGAGTGCCTGCAGTTACTCACAGTGAGTGGCAAAAAGACTGAGCGGCTGTATTTGTTTTCAGCATGAATGCCGCGAAAAACACACACTACACATATAAAGTGGGAAAGAGCTTTAGGATTGACTGTACAACTAGATTTGACAAAAAAATCGGAGGTCTATTTTTACAGACTGCAATAAAAAGAGGAGCAAATGGATCAACTGGACTCCAGTCAGCGAAAGGTGGATTTGCAGTTATCATTTTGTGTCAATGTGCTGAATTTAGGTGTAAAACCATACCCATATATTTTGTATTGTTATATATATTAACAACTCATCAATTAAATATTTATCATTGCATATTCTGCATTATTGGATGTTTTTTAATAAACACAATGACCAAAAAAAAAAAAAAAACTATAAAGTTTTAAGGCTGGACGAAATGGTGATATATATATATATATATATATATATATATATATATATATATATCCCTTTAGCTTAGTCTCATATATATATATAGGCTATATATAACACTGATATAAGTGATCACTCGGATTTAGACCTACCTATACTGTATTTAAATAAAGCGTTCACAGGCAAATTTGCTTTATGTTTAGGTTTACATTGCTTTTATTTCCCCGGTGTCGAAATCAGGCAAACATAAATGTCAGGCAACACGATTCCTGGCTGCATGTCAATATCCATGCATCACTGGATCTTTAGTAAGTTGTAAGGAACACTATATTGAGTCCAACATTTAGTTTAAATTGATAAAATTGTTCGTTTTAGTCGCATTTTCACAGTTTCCCCTATTAAATCCAGTCACGCAGCAGATCTTTTGCCACTCAGTCAGGCTGAGGGGGGTTGTTCTGGCGGGAAAGTGACGTCAATGCATTCCCTCTATAGCTGGTTCAAAACCTTGGTCTTTAGGGGCTATAAGCTGAATGGATGAGATCATGAATCTATAGCAACCTCACCGCCTCCAACATAAGGAACACAGAGATCATTATGACTCAGCATCTGCTGCATCCCTTTAGCTGAGGTATGTGTGCTAGGTATGTGTGCTAGGTCCTCCCAGATATGTGGCCATATCTGACCACAGTCTGACATGTAACAAAACAATAGGCAATACATTAAATAAAGACGATGCGCTTGCTATGATATAGCCACATTAAAGGGTTAGTTCACCCAAAAATGAAAATTCTGTCAGTATTTTCTCACCTTCATGTGTTTATTTGTTCTGCTGAACACAAAGGAAGATATTTGGAAGAATGTTTTAATCAAACAGATCTCATTCCCCATTGACTACCATAGTAGGAAAAAATACATACTATGGTAGTCAATGGGGAATGAGATCTGTTTGATTAAAACATTCTTCCAAATATCTTCCCTTGTGTATAGCAGAACAAATAAACACATAGAGGTTTGGAACAACACGAAGGTGAGTAAATACTGACAGAATTTTCATTTTTGGGTGAACTAACCCTTTAAATTAACCAATAATCTTAAATACTGCAAAGATTTTAATGCAACATTTTTTTTGGACTAACTTCACAATCTTCCCTTGTTTCTTGCATGAGAGCATTAAGATATACGGGGCCCCTGATTTAAACTTCTTGAATAGTGCCTTTGATTTAGCAAAAATGGCATTAGAATAGGTCAGTTTGAGTTGCAACACCACCTCAATGTTCCTCTACAATCAGGTTCCTGCATCTAATGCTCCAGATAACCTAAATACAGCTGTGTTCAATACAGTATATTCAAATACCTCTACAACAGCATAAGAATATCTAATACTTGCTGCATCACAATTTAAGCCTTAAGAATGCTGATTCACTGTGTGCATCACATCCTCTGAGAAAATTTTACACATTTCTGTAATATCGGTTAATCCAACCACTAATTTCAACATCATTACATCATTATCCTGTGCTGTGTTTCTACAATAAGAGCATATAACAACGGATGTTAAACGTACCATATCACTGCTGTGACCACATCATGCTTTATAGCACTCTAAATATGAGACTTCATCCAAATGTTCCAGGATATGACTATTATTATGTGCAAATGGCTGTGTAAACAGTTACGACTGGCAAAAACTGAAGAAACTAAAATCACTGAACCGTGCAAGATTTACAGATGCTTCCAGCATCCTTTAAGAAGCATGAAAATAACAGAGCACGTCTGGTCTCCTGCAAAGGTTAAAAATATGAAGGGAAAACCACATTTCATGCACTTATGCTCTGTGTTATTATTGAAGGGCGTTACCTGGGAAGCATGTTGCAAGGTGTTCGATGAGAGTCTCTTGCGTGACGGCCTTACGGGCCGAGTTCATGGCAGAAATGGCCAGGCACAGGATTTCTCCCAGTGGTATAAACTGGGATTGGCTGATGGGAGACATGCTGATAGGAGACACATCACCTACAAAGCACAGAGATCAAAGGTCAAAGATCAACTCAGTGTGTGGCAGAGGTGAACGGTTAAAACTAGGGCTGTCAAACGATTAATCGCATCCAAAATAAAAGTTTGTGTTTACATAATATATGTGGGTTCACTGTGTATAATTATTTTATATAAATAAACACACACATTCTTGTATATATTTAAGAAATATTTTTATGTATATACTGTATATAGATTTATATATAATTTATATTAATTATTTTTTTCTTAAATATACATGCATGTGTGTGTATTTATATATATACAAACTATTTATACACAGTGCACACACATATATTATGTAAACACAAACTTTTATTTTGGAAGCGATTAATCGCAATTAATCGTTTGACAGCCCTAGTTAAAACGTTACACTATGTGTAAAGTAATAAAGTTGTAAGTAGGGATGGGACGGTATGAAAATTTCATATCACGATTATAGTGTCCACAATTATCGCGATTATCAATATTATCACGGTTTTCTTAAATTTAGATATAAAGTGTTCAAAATATAAAGTGTAAAAATATAAAATATAAATATAAAGTGTTCAAAAAAAACTGATGCTCACACTGAAAACATTTCAACAAGTTTTATGAATGAAAATCAACAAACAACAAATAAACAGCTCTATGCAGTTTTTTTAAGCAAGATTCTATTCTATGGCATTTCCTTCTTTATAATGCCCGTCGTTAATAGCAACGCATTATTACACACACCGCGCACATCAATATCACAACGGACACGCGCTCGTTTAATTCAAATACAACTTTCCGGCCGTCTTGCCGGAAATTATACAGTTTTTGATTGTATTTGAAAATGAAATCAGATTTGATTTATTGTTTACAGAGTTTGATAATATTGGTTTAATAATCATCTTGTCTGGAGGATTGTTTTACTAAATGAATTTATAAACGGGTAAGATTTAAAACATTAGCTAAACTCATTATCAATTCAATATGTCCCCGTAATTATGTGGTAAAAATAAAATCGGTGTAATACGTTATGTATCTATACATTTCTATTTCTTAAAACGTCACTCTTAATAATAATCTTATTTGAAGATGTTCGTTCGTCAGCTCAAAGACACTTGCTGCAAAATTTTCTTCGCGGAAGCTTCACTTCTATTTCAAGTGAGTGACATAAAATGTTTAAACTCAAAACAACATTTCGTGCCCAATTGTTTCCCAGACCTAGTTTCGGTATTGAAGTCAAAGTTAACTTGCCTTGTGTTCGCTATACAACAGCGGGTGATGGTTACACAAGAAGACGACTCGGCAGATTTTAAGTGTTTCTTTTGGACAGTGACTTTTTGTTCTGCAGACAGGGTGACTATCCTCGATCAAGTTTCCCTCAGGACTTTTGTAAAAGCCTAACTATGACCACACTCCAGATTTGGTCCTCTCAAAAGGCCGAATCTCCCAAGCACGGTCACTGCCTTCCGCCATTCCTTCTCGAATAGTAAACATTGCGTGCAGCGCGCGGCTGCGTCAGACTGGCCGACAGGATTTACAGTGAGTTATTAATCGCGATAATCAAACACGGTTTTAATGATAATTACATTTTAAACGATAATACTAACCGTCAGTATATTTTATCGTGGTTTATCGCGAAACCGGTTATCGTCCCATCCCTAGTTGTAAGGTCATTAAAAAAAATACACTAATAACAGAATGATTAACTGTCCAATATTTAAATTCTTTCAACATGTCAAGTACACCTGCATCAGTCGATAACATTGTAAAAATCAACAAAACACTATGATACACATTTAAATTCTGGCAGATAACACTAGGGCAATAATTATTGTGATGTTAAATACTAAATGGCTATTTTAATTCTCTATCTTGTATAAAAAGTTTGTGCAACAGTTTTGACATCACATCACGGTATTATAACTGAAAATATGAAAGACAGATTTACAATTTGAGATTTGGTAAATATTACATTTAAGAGTGATTTTAGGTGATTAGTGTTTTTAAAAAGTGTCATGAAACCCCTCAGTTTTTGCACTCATCATTCACACCACAGACTTGAAAAACACTGAAGAAATAGGTGTGTAAAGCTGTGGAAAAGTGGGAGTGTAGAAAGTGGGAAGAGGGAACAAATAAAACAAAAGAAAAAAACATTATTCAGACAAATGAATATTAAAACCTTGATGCATTTTATAAATAAAACCCTACGACAACATTAGAGAATACTAACAACAAATCTAATACGTTTTGATAAATTATTCATAGAAATATCAACAAATCAGTATTACAAATTTGCAGAGCTATTGGTCTAAATGAAAGTCAAAGTCAAATAATACATTTTTTCAGTACATTTACGTGCACTAAAATCTCTGAATAACTCACACGCATCAGTTAAACAGAATGAATAAAGGCATTTTTTCTTTGAATTTTCATTGTCTTCATGAATCAGAATACAGTGTCATAGCATTCATAATCAGACGTACCAGTGTCTTTATTTAAATTACACATGTATATTTTGTTTGAAGAAGACATGATGAAATATGTGCACATACATACACTGCTTACTCATGTTTGGAGAACTGGTAAATGATACATACATGTCCCAAAAAAAAAAAAATGTATAAAACGGTCCAGATATGAACTATGATCCGCGTAGCTAAACTCAACGTGGCGTTCCGTGTGGAAATGTATCCGTGTGTTGTTACATATTAAATATTGTTACAGCCATATTTGGGATTCGGTCATATTGTTGCTGGTCAAAATCCAGCTCGTGGGGAAAATGCAAACACTTTTGTGTTACTTCACTGAGGAACTCACACTTATGACATGAACGAACGCAAATCTGAACCGGCAGGTAAACGAACAGTACCACATCGATCTTTTGTGACATTTGGATTCTCTGCTGTAATGCGATCTCATGCATAATACAGTGCAGCGATTGGATTAAAAGAGTTTATTCCCATGAATAATGCAGAGAAAAGCTCTGAGAAACTACTCCTTGGCAACAAATTACCGGCAATCCAACAAAAAAATCACTTTCCAAAAACATTGTAATCTTTAGTCACTGTTTTCGAACAGCCCTGCAGCAGAAATGACATATATCCCACCTTTAGCCTACTGAAATCAAATCTGTCTATGATAATTATAGCATCCTCAACTATCGACTTAACATTTGCTCTCTGAACCGACCTACATTCTGTACCACTCAAAGACCTCTCCTAAAAATAGCACTGAACATCTGGTGCTGTACTCTTCAGTAAAGGCCTAGAAGAGGCAGCACTCCCAGTCAGCAGGCCTTGGCACCTGGGTAAGTAGCTCAGCATGGATCCCTGGCTCTTATATCCAAATCGGGCTTATCAGGTGTGCAAAGCGAAGACAGAAACAAACTGTTAATGCACCTTCCTGGCAGGTGAAGAACAAGAGTAAGCTGATTGAGACAAAACACGTGAAGTGCACAAAGTGAGCTAGTGTCCATGTGAAGGTAGAAAGCAATGACAGGGCAGGACTGATAAAGATCTGTTTGATGCCATAGCCGAATACAAGTCATCAGAGGCTGTAGATCAACATAGGGGTGGTGTTTCTTCTAGACTAGGTGTCCTATTTACAGTCTAGCTTGGTGCCATTACTTGAACAATGACCAGGACGTTGTCAAACCTGCTCAAAACAACCAGGTGTACAAGTAATACGGGATTAACAGAAAAGCAAACAATCATAGTGAGCAATCTGGGTTCAGAGGCAAACACATCACAAATACTATATGAAGAATACTCTTTAAGTAAGTGGTTACCTGAGGAATAGTTAAGTGCAAAACAAGAGTCTTAAAATGGACTAGTGAATAAACTAACCTTGTCCTTTGGTCATTCACAGACCATCTGATGCATACTGCACACAAAAATGAAAATAGCTGGCTGAAACCAGCTTAAAGGAGTTCACTTTTCAAACAACTTCTGCTGATAATTTACCCACCCCCATGTCATCTAAGATGTCCATGTCATTCGTTCTTCAGTCGAAAAGAAATTAAGGTTTTGGATGAAAACACTCCAGCATTTTTCTCCATATAATGGACTTCAATGGTCCAAAAGACAGTTTCAGTGCAAACTGCAAACTGTTCAAAGGGCTTTAAACGATTCCAGACGATGAGTAAGGGTCTTATCAAGCGAAACGATCGCTCATTTAAAAATAAATAAATAAAAAAGTTTAAGTTTTATAAGCTCAAATGGTCGCCTTGCTCTGTTCTGTGACGCACGTTCGTGACTCTCCTGTTCGTGTTCTCCTTTTTTCGTGTCATTTGGTTCATTCAACGAACGAAATGAACGAATTGACTCAGGAAAAGATTCTAGATTCGTTCATTTTGATGAACGAGTTCGAACTTAACTTTAAATTCTGCTTTGTAATCTGAATTTGTGTATTCGGCTATTACAAACTTCACAAACAATTTATAGCATTTAAAAAATCTAGATTAAAAAACTATTGTTTTTGTTCAATCAACTTTTTATTTTTACATGTAATTTATTAGAAATAAACATTACCTTGAATTGACCTATAAATTAACCATTAAATACCATTAAACATTAAAGTTTACTGTTTTTTATGTTAGCTACTGCATTAATTATCAATTTTTAGGAAAAAACAAAACAAAAAAAAAACAAAAAAAAAACAGTGCGTAGTCACTTTACATGCTGGTTAAAAAACAAAATCTCTTCTATTCTGAATGAGCAGTCTTTAACCAGAAGCTGTAAAGTGGACCAAAGTTTGACTAATAAGCAAATGAAAATTAACCAAGAATATATATATATATATTTATGGAAATAACTTAACTAAACAGTGTTTAACTCACTTTAACTAGGCCTAAACATCCTGAGCATGGATATATTTCAGTCATATAAAGCCGTTTCCTCATCCTCATTCTCCATCTCCCCTGTGAGATATTTTACGCCAAACCACCTCTCCTCACAGACACTGACATCACTGTTTTCCTTCTCCTTCCAGGAAAGAGCTCCGACCGC